GATTGGTAACCTGAAACTTATTTGTGGTGCACAGTTGAATTTGGTACGAGTGAGATTAGTAAACTTTATGTCGTCAGTACCAATTCAATCTCTACTTATGTTTGTTCTAAAAGTAATTTGATTCAATTAATTTCTTAGGGCCAAGTATAATTTCTGGCAGATTTATGAAAAATAGAGTAAAATAGAGATGAAACTTCTGTATGTCGGTCACAAAAATACGTGCATAAATTGGGAGTGTAAAAATTAGGCTTTGCACGGACACGATGAAAAAATCGTCGTCCTTCCAAAAAGATTTATTAGAAGTGACATATACTAGTTGAGCATTTAATCAATAAATTAATTTAAAATACTCAACTCTCTCTAGTTCTACTCAGTTCACGAATTTCTCTATGTATCGGTCGTTTTTTCAACGGATTTGCTTTTTACTGTTGTTTCAAGATCATTGAACATTGTCCTATCTGGATATTATTGGATATTATTCATATTCATGTTGACATTATTTCTACTAATTATTCCTGTTCAAAAATTAATTCTAATAAAATTTATCGTTGATCAACCTATATATCAAGTCTTCTTAAAATATAAGCGTGACACTTGCAAGCTTCATCATCTAATTTTTTTCAAAATTGGATATTTTTTTCCTAATCCCAGAAATTTCGGTATGATATTAAAGACCATATATGATCAATGTAGCTCATAAGAGTTCTCTTTACCTTGTTCTCAGGTCCCTCTTTCTCAAGGCTTCCGTTATGCCCTTAAACCATTCTAATTTGCAGGCGACGCTGGAGACGCCTTGGCTTAGCTCGCCAGTTCACTGTTAATAAAGATAACAATATCTGACTGAGCATTGTGTCCTTCCCCCGTGGAAACATTAGCATTATATCATGACTCGCCGGACTACGAGCTTTGTATCCCATTCATATATAATATATAACATTACATAAAAACTCGTTAGATATTTATATGGACATTTATCTTTATATCTTGATTTACTAACCCACGCATCACGTTAACATATTGATACTATCATATTCGATAATATTAGTTCATTATATTTACAAAGTTTTATAAACGCCTCCCTCATCAGCCTGCCTCTCTCTGAAATAAAATGAGGCTGAAGAAGGTCTCACTAGCTTCTCGAAGAAAGTATTTGGGGCTGAGGCAGATCTTACTCGCCTTTCAATGATAGTATATGAGAACGTAAGAGCTTCCAAATAATAGTATATAAGGTTGAGGCAGATCTCGCTAGCCTCCCAATGGAAGATATGAGGCTAAGGCAGAGCCTTTCAATGAAAGTATATAAGGTCGAGACAGATCAAACTAGCCTTCTAATGAAAGTATATGAGGCTGAGGCAGATCTCGCTTGTTTCCCAATAAAATTACATAAGGTTGAGGCAGATCTCTCTAACTTCCCAACCCAAATAATAATTAAGGGTGGCGCAACGATGATTATAGGTGGCATAACAGTGCTGGCCACATCTGCCAAAAAATCGACAGTAAAACACCAATAAATCGAGTGGATGGCTAGTACAGTGTAGGTGGCGGTCATGGATGAATCATCGATGATTTATAAAGTTTGAATCATCGATGACGCATTGCAGGTATTCCTCTTGTAAGTAAGCCACCGATAACCGTTCGCGCAAACTGAGCAGTGCGCGAAGAAATTTGCCACTGTAATTTATCCAACGTAGAAAGGAATTACCGGGTTGCGGGTCATTCGAGATCTATTCGGAATCACGATTTCGTTCTATTTGGCGTGTTAGATTATGAATCAATTAAATTTAGCGAAAATTTGTCGTAAATTCGGTATGTGTGAGTAAAACTGACAAACAGATGCTAGGTGTTCACAAAATTATCAAGCCATAGCGAAGCCACTGGGTATATTTCAGAATGCTCATGATATAAATTGTCCGAGTAACAGTGGAAAGTTTTTTGCTACAAAAAAAAATAGTTTTCCTATAGATTTAGACGAATCCAATTTTTCACGTTGACTGGCTGTGTTTGAAATATTGCGATCATTTGAGACTATTTTATTGTATCGCTAAGTATAAATTATATGGATCGATTAAATGTGTTTCATAAGATTTATAATATTCTTAAGTTGACGCAGGTATCTAGAGCCACGTTGACGTAGTCAACAGCAGCTCGGAATCTTTTTCAGCGCGGCGAGCGAGTGCTCATACGTCTCATACATGTTGGGTTGGCGAGCTTCTTTCCTACTTATCTCTATCACGTCCTGCTTAATATTGCTTTCCGGGTAATTTGCTTGTCAAAAACTATCCTCTATAAGATTGATTCAGATTTCGCTAGTTTCCCAATGAAAGTTTCAGAGTTGTGGCAGATCTCGCTAGCCTCCCAGTGAACGTATATGAGGCCGAGGTAGGCCTCCATCGCCTCTCAATGGCAGAATATATGAGGCTGAGGCGAACTCGCTAGCCTTTCAGTGATAGTATATGAGGCAGAGGCATGTCTATCTCGCCTCAACCTTTTCTTCACAAGCTACGATTCATTAACTATCGCGCACGTTTATTTTCTCTGCATGCCAGCGAAGAACTCAGCCAAATCATAGAAATATTCTTACATGCATTGTTTTTTTCTAGTAAAAAGCTTTATCTGTGTCATAGTAGGCACAAGCTTCTAAATTATTCATCAACGACAAACACAGGTTGGATTCGTTTTTATCAATATTTTTGATGTTGATTTATTGATATGAATTACTTGCCGGTGCTCATGGCACTGCTCGGAATATATGATCCTGAACAGCCTCAAGATCACATCGAATGTCATATGCACGTCCAGATAAGAGAAGAGCTGTGAATATTTTAATGACTGAGATCCATTTTAAAAGTATTACGTTATTGGCATATATGGTGAGCCTATTAAAGCAAGATGTTGCATTTTTTCGAGTCGATATTCGGAATATTAGTAATTTCTTGGTGTGGTAGGTATCGTGGACACTCGCTCGACCATCTCTAACATGTACCAGCTAGCAGACACTTTCATGGCAAATTTGATCTTCACCAGCGTGAAAATAATTGTCTTTGCTTCTTTCATTAAAAAACATTCTAAAAGTATGTAAATAAGAGCAACTTCTTTAATCCACCTTTTAATAGCATTTTCAATAACATGTTCACAATTACACATCATTGGATGGCAGATTGCGTCTCTTCAAATAGGGTTCAAACAAACATACGCTCAAGAAAGTATAATATTGATGCAATAAAGCAGTCGTCAACCGACTACTTTATTTAATCGGTGCTTCTTTTACTGATGTGAAAAAATTGCAGTGATCGTATTTGATCACATCGCTATTTTTTGTACTCATAAGAAATAATCAACATTCATTTTAGAATTAAGAAGGTGTTCTTGCTCATCCAATCGAGCTCAAATATTGAATCTAATTTAAAATAATCCATTGTGCATCTGCCGCTCTAATTGAGTTGCCGATAAAAATCAGCGGAAAATCTTTCGCGCTCTTGTTTTTACTAAGGAGTTCTGAACTCTTCGAGTCATCATCCGTCTACTTCACGTGGCTCTAAAAACCTATAACGATGAGCCATGCTGCTCTTTTTTATTCATCTGAATTCTAGTTGCCTCTGAAGCGTTTGATACGACGAGACATGCTCTTCCCATTAGAGATTTATTTCTAACTTTAATGAGTCATTCGTGAAGTGAAGCGTTTAAATCATAAGCTGCAGTGTTCTCATTTGTACCAAGTTTTTCAGCAATAAATTTACTTTACACTGAAGTACTTTGTTCGCCCATGTCATTTTATTTCGCTGTTTTTCAAAGGAGAACAATGAGTCTTTTATTTGTCTCGCGCGGTATATTAGTGCGTGCCCACGACATTAAAACATTCATTTGCCTAGAAGAGTTCATTTAAATGAAAATTTCAGTGAATAAAATCTAATTTTTTGCCGAATTAATGCAAAAAAATCTATCGTCTTAACTACTTTTTAGAGTTTTTGATATAATATTTCATTCTTGAATTCTACTGATTGCAATTTTCGCATAATTCTTTATGAGCTAAAAATAAAATACTATGATGCGCTCAATTGAACTGGGATTAATTTTGAATCCCTAGCCTCAGATTTTTGGTTTGTCGTGGTGCCTGGTCTCAAATATTGTTGTTTTTTTTGTAACATATTAGATTTTATGATCGAAAAATTAGTAAAGCATCTCAATACGAGAGTATAAAACAATCGAAGAATTTAGGAATAACGATTGGAAAATATGTCGTCCAGCCTTTGAAATTGATTTGTTCATTTTGTCACGTAATGAATCAATTACTGCATATTATTTAGTAACATTCCATTATTATCGAGCTAAGCCTTTTTTATACACTCAACCGCCGTGCATCTGATGTTCAATAACGTTTATTAAACGTTGTTTCAACGGAATGAATTGGTAATCAACGCTGCTTCAAAATAGTTTCAAAGTGGTTTCAACGCAACATTTTTGTTATTATTTCTAAAATTTTCAAACGTTTTCAACAATGTTTCAGCATTGTATCAACGTTATTTCAAAGTTTTTTCTTTTTTTGCTTTGTCTCAACATTCTCTCAACTATGTTCTAACGTTATTTCGACGTTGTTTTTGTTCTGTCAACTTTCTTTCAACTTTGTTCTAACGTTATTTCAACGTTATCTTAAAGTTAGATCAACGTTATCTTAACTTTATATCAACGTTATCTTAATTTTATCTCAACGTTATCTTAACATTATCTTAGCGTTATCTTAACGTCATCTCAACGTTATCTTAACGTTATCTCAGCGTTATCTTAACGTTATATCAATGTTATCTTAACGCTATATCAACGTTAGAGTAACGATATACCAACGTTATCTTAGCGTTATGTCAACGTTATCTCAACGTTACCTCAACGTCATTTGCATGGAGATTAATAATAAATTAATGATGTTTGTGCAGAGCGTGCTGGCTCAGCACGTGGGGGCGTTGCAAGACAAGGAGATTAATTATAAATGATTGATGTTTGTGCAGAGCGTGCTGGCTCAGCACGTAGGGGCGATGCAAGACAAGGAAGAGCTGCTGATGAAGCTACAGGAGCAACATCTCATGGTCGGTCAGGGCAAGAGCACCAAGCGTCAGGGCGTGTCCGGTGAGAGCGGCGGCAACGACAGCGCTGACACTGCGCCTATTGAACACTTCAATAAAGACTTCAGGTCAGTTGAATTACCTTATATAGCGTCATAGTGAATTATGATACTATGAATAAAGTCTTCAATAAAGACTTCTGGTCAGTTAAATTACCTTATATAACGTCATAGTGAACGTAGATACTATGAATTAATTCAAGACTTCAATAAAGATTTCTGGTACAAATGTCAACCCTTGTCAAGTTAGTTAAATTAACTTATATAGCGTCATAGTGAATGCATGATACTAGGAATAAATTTAGGACTTCAATAAAGACTTCAGGTCAGTTGAATTACCTTATATAGCGTCATAGTGAATGTATGATACTAGGAATAAGGTAAGGACTTCAATGAAGACTTCAAGTCAGTTAAATTAACTTATATAGCGTCATAGTGAACGTAGATACTATGAATAAAGTCTTCAATAAAGACTTCTGGTCGGTTAAATTAACTTGTATAGCGTCATAGTGAATGTATGATACTATGAGTGAATTAAGGACTTCAATGAAGACTTCAGGTCAGTTAAATTACCTTGTATAGCGTCATAGTGAATGTATGATACTATAAGTGAATTAAGGACTTCAATAAGAACTTCAGCTCGGTCAGATTACCTTATATAGCGTCATAACATGTGTATAATACGTGAATTAATCTGCACTTGAATTAAAGGACTTTAGGTCAGTTAAATTGCTTTATATTCTGTCTTAATGGATGCATGATACCACACGTCAATTAAATATATCAAATCTCCAAAGTATCGTATATCTCCTCATAACAGAGTATGATCTTAAAAGAGAGTTAAGGACTGCAATAAAAACGTCAGGTCTGCCAAATTACTTTATATCCTGTAATAATAATTTATGCATGCTTGAATTAAGGACTTCAACAAAAACTTCGACTAAGAGAAAGTAATTTCATTACCAAAGTTTTTATTTTGTCAAACCATGCGTGAATTTAGCATCTCAATAAGGCCCTAATGGTTGACCAAATGATCCTAATTATTACCTATTACATTATTCTATCCGTGAATTTGTCTCTTTGGTGGCAAATGAGTACAGTGAATGTACTCGTAATAAATAAATAGAAATGAATTTACTCATAACATTAGCAAACATATAGAGTGACCATGTGAAATCATCCAGATGTCAATTTAGGAATTTATAATTACTAAATATTTTGTTAGGAATATAATTAGACGATGAATTAACAGTTTCATTTACTGGTTAGGAAAAATTTTATCGTTGAACGTCCATTTGTCAACGCGGCCTTGTTTCAGCGAGTCATTTTCGCGTGGCATGGAAATCATCGACTCTGATAGGAAAGATTTTTGAATTTGTAGTCCACGCTGACTAGCTCGTGCCAGATTCTACCTCCATTAAACTATTTTATTAATAATTGTTTTTGTACCTGCGGTTTGATATTCAATAAGCTGTATCAGTAACTCTATTGTATTCACATGTCGTCCGTGTTATCACCTAATACTAGTATTTAAGTTAATTTAGTTCGTTTCTAGTCACCGTGACTGAAGGATAATCCCTTGTATTTACGTATTTCTAGTATGGCGGTGTTGGTGGAAAGAATTATATCACGAAAAGCATAGAGTAATTGTAATTAGTTTCGTTCATCGTGACTTAATAAAATATTTGTTAAGATAACCGTAGAGTTTATGGTACTTTGGCCCGCTATTATATATTTGACTGGATAGATTTATCTGGCTGCAAGTGTTCTGCAAGCATCAGTTTAAATTGGATTTTGATAACTGATCAGGAGCAAGGTTACTACTCTATATTATATTTCCAACGCATGTGCCAATTGATGATATGAACAATGGTTAGGTCTCGTTATTCATGAAATATTATCATGCCTTGGAACAGTGTAGCATTGAAAGAATACTATTTGTAAACATCGACGACATTATGATAAAATTTTGCTTTAGCTTAGCTTTTTCTCTGTGCCCTCTCCCATACAATATTAAAATTATTTTCTTGATCTATTGAGGTAACTAGGTTCTGCTGTACTGGTTTGCTCGTTTTATCTTTATTGCATCAGCCTTTATTTGCCTATCCTTAGATTCTAGACCTAATTATAATTAGCTGAAGACTTTATGTAGCGCTAAATAAATAATGTATTATCGCATTTTCATACATACGTTATGTGACGATGAACATTGATTAAATAATAGAAGTAACTTTGTAAGAAAATATTTAATTAGCATAATTATCATTAATTAGCGTAAATAGTGAATTAGCGTAATTATCATTATTTTTCACAAAATCATTAATTTATTTTACCTTATCTCAATTGTTTATTATTTTGGTTCGACTCCATAGTTAATGAATGGTTAGTTAATGCATTTGAAATGAATGCACGCTTTAAGCAAGTACTGTAGCATATTAAATAACGTTATACTAACCCTGCTTTTATTCTTAACGCGATATTTATCAATACATTTCTGCTCACGAAGCTAGGTAGATTTTTTTACTCTGCTCGTTAAAACTTTTGATGAGTCTCACTATAAATTGCCCTGGAAAAAACTACGACTTGAGCTCGAGATTTGTCCGCTGTTCTGCTTGATTGCTAACTATCGAAGAATATCCCTGACAGAAAAAAACTTAACTCCAGCTTAAGTGATTTCATTGAGGAAAAAGGAGGTGAAACGTGCTTTGTAGAAGTTCGACTTGTAATTTATTTTTTTGCGAAAAGGAGTTCTGTTTACGGATAGAAATGGCCGCTGTCACTTTTCTTTTGATAAAACATTAGTCACTTGTTGCCTAATCAAGTAGACAGAAAGCTCATATTTTTAATGAACAGTTTGCGATCCCAATTTGATATACAATTTTATTTGGCACCATGGCATTAAGCGCTGGTGGATAAGTGCTGCTGGTCTTCTCGTTTAAATATGAATGTTGTCGCAAAGAATGCTAGGTACAATATTGCTTTCGGAAAAGGAAGGGATGGAATATTGATTTTATTACTGGCGAATGGGTTAGCCCGAATACGAAAAACGGAAACGTAAAATAAAAAAAATTTTATTGAATTTATTGGGTGATCGGGCTGGTCGACTCGTCAAGGTAGCAAGCGCATGTTCAGCGGCGCAGTAATTAGAGGCAAGTGGCATTTTGGTTCTCATTTCTGAATTAAACGGAAACATTTTATGCTCGTGACGAAAAAATGTGCTCGCTTTAAAAAAAATGAGGAGAGGCATAATAAATAAAAATTTTAATTATGAAATAATGGCTTGTATTATAATTGATCATTGAAATAGTGCCCAGTTACGAAGCATAATTACTATATGTGATATGTGAAAAATATGTGAATCAGAAATATGTGAATCAGAGATTAGAAAAACTCATTCATAAATGAAAACCTTTTAACTGTTTGCCGTTAATTAGCTTTCATGTATTCGTGTAAGATTCGCATTCAAACTTGCGTGACACAGCTTTCATTTTGACAATAATTCAGCTTCAATTATATCACGTTAAATTATGTTTTCCTACTCTTTGTGATCAAAGGCTCAGGAATTCATGCGCGGTATTTTTCTGGCAAAAAAAAATTACTTCCATACTTAATTTACTTACCGCATAGTCTTTCAATGATTTGAATGTAAAAAAAAAAGAATTTCTAAATAACAATTCCTTTACAGCGACGCTTGAGCCTCAGGAGAAAGAGAAAAGAAATGTATTTTATTTCGACGTCAGAATCATAGTAATTTATTTCCCATTGTACATAAACACTTTATTACAGATGAAGGCCAGCTTTTGCCTGGTTACTCATAAATTTGACTAGTTGAAATTTTTTTATTCCTTTAAATAACGCTGGCAATTTTAGAAGAAAGTTCGAAATGGTTCGAGTCTGGTAATTTCATTTTCTGTCTTAAATGAATTTTACTCGAAAATTGCTCCAGCAAAGGCTTCTGAAGGGTGCCGCTCTCTTGTTCTGGTTCCAATTTCATGACATAGTATAGGTCATTAAAAATCTTGATAAAAATCCTCGTTCTATTCCGAAGTTTTTTTCTCGATTTCGCGTCTTCACTGTTTATGTACAGCAAGTTATAATTATTAGATTTATTTATTAAAAACCATCTATCCCAACTAACATTTATTGGTGAAGCATCGATGATTATTGATGGCTATAGGTGGAGTAACGATGGCGCATCGATGCGGCATCGATAGCGTGACACATCTATGTTCTACCTTTAACCTGTATTGTCAGTCTGCTTATATCGCAAGTACACAAGGAATTTAAAAGCAAAGAAAACGCCAAGCAAATTCACCATATCGAAACTGAAAACGTTTCGGAGTCCAGCTCCATCATCAGTTCGAACTGATGGAACTTTATTTTTTAGATTGTCGAACTGACGATGGAGCTGGACTCCGAAACGTTTTCAATATCGATATGGTGAATTTGATTGGTGTTTTCTTTGCTTTTAAATTCCTTGTGAACCTTTAACCTGCGACTGACCACCCTACTCGAAAAACTCTTCTTTCATCAATAACTACCCACTGACACCAGTGGCGCATCGATGAGCCACCGATGGCCACTTTCAAAATGGTGTCGATAAAAATTTATCCGTTTCTTTCTAATCCGATGCATTTGCATTCACTGATTTTACTTCAAACGATCACACATTCTGAGGACTACGTATGCACATCAAACATGGCAGTACAAGTAACAATGTCAGACATGTAGCAGGAACAAATTATCACAGTGCCATACACATACCTCGTGAGAAATCGATTTGAAGAACAGTCCCTACCAGCAGAAAGCAAAGCCATCGGAGAAGAGAACTTGGCATTCGAGTCATAGTAAGATACATAATCCTTTCCCTAGCAAAAATTTAGAGGCGTGTGCGACCCTGCATTAGGGCCGCCTAGGACTCGGGGGAGCACTTAAATTACATTCTATATGTCCGTTTCGGCTCAGGGTTCGAAGAGCAGCCTTTGAGTAGCTGGCCAGGCCGGTATGACTCAGCTCGGCCAACCCTTGTCAGACTCTCAGATGACTATAAAGTCGGTAGAAGATTCTAA